TTTAGAAAGAGGGTTTCTGCTTTAATCATGGAGATTGTTTCATGAATTTAGAATGGTGGTTGTAGTCGGTAGTTGGTAGTGTAGGGAAAGGATTTAATACAGGACACATAATTTTTATGATTACCTGTAGTATTTATCCAAAGAGTCAAATGCAAAAGAGTGCAGGAGAAGATCTGTCCCACACTAGAGACCCAGAGAATCCAGCTGAGGGCCTGGATCCTATGGCAATGTCCAGCACGAGTCCAGCTGAAGTTCTAGAGCTCACGACAATGTCTTGTGCAAGTCGGTATCAAGGATCTGTGCTGGGAAGGCCCAAAGGCCAGTGGTGGAAGCTAGAAAGTCTGCACCAATGGGATGAAGGATGAGCTGTACCAGCAGGCTGAGGGATCTGCACTGGAGCCAGGAAGTGACGCTCAAAGTAAGGACCAGAGCTCCCCCAAAGAGTACCGCAGCAATCCTCAGTGACAGTGAGGACCCAAGCTTTTCCAATGAGGAGAACAGCCGAGTTCATATAAAAAAACCCAGCATGACTGGCTTCTCCAGGAGAATCAACAACATACCGTATTCCTCTCCAGTTCTCCTTTTTATGTTGTTGGCAACAATCCTCAGATGGGCCTTCCACACCCAGCACCACACTGCTTCAATTCCACTGGGTGTTACAAGGTGCCCATTAGTTAATCCACTGCAAATGGGAAGGGATATATTGTTCGTTGTTGTTGGGGTGGTGGTGGTAGTGGTAGGGTCTGAAACCAGGAGCCTTGTCCGTGCTAGGCAAGTGCTCTGCCACAGAGCTATATAACCTTAGCTCTGACATGGACTTTTTAGACAAAACCCTAGAAGCGCAGGAAAGAAAGGCAAAAATAGATGAATGGCTTAACATCAAACTAAACTTCTGCTCAGCAAAGAAAACAACAGAATGAAGATACTACCTGCAGAATAGGAGAAAATATTAGCAAACTATACATCTGACAAGGGGTTAATACCCAGTATATATAAGGGACCCAGAAACCCGATAGAAACAAAACAAAAAAGAACTTCTTTTTAAAAGGGGTAATAGCTGGGCGTGGTGGTGAACACCTGTAATCCCAGCACTTGGGAGACTGAGGCAGGAGGATTGCTGTGAGTTTGAAGCCAGCCTGGGCTACAAAGTGAGTTCAAGGCCAGTCTGAACTGCATAGTGAAACCCTGTCTCAAGATTTAAAAAAAAAAAAAAGAAAGAAAAAGGGGTGGTGGTGGTGGTGTAATAAAGCTAGCTGTGGTGATACATGCTTGTAATCTCAGCACTCAGGAGGCTGAGGCAGAAGGATCACCATGAATTTGAGGCCAGCCTGGACTATGTAGGGAGACCCTGTCTCCAAAAAAAAAAAGATAACTTTTAAAAATAAAATTTTAAAAAAATCCAAGGAGTGTAGCACAATGCAAAGGCTGTGGGTTTAATCCCGAATACCACATGCATTAATGATAATTTTTAAAAGTTGGGGCCAACAAAACAGGCATGTCTGGTAGCGTATGTCTATAATCTCAGCACTTGGAAAGTTGAGAAGGATTGCAAATTTGAGGCCAGCCTGGGCTACATACCAACTTCAAGGCTGGCCTGTACTGTATAGCAAGACCATGTGTCACAGAAAAAATAATTTAAAATGGAGGAGGACAATAAACCTAAATACATATTTCTCAAAAAAAAAAAAACAAAAAACATGCAAATGGCCCACTGTGTGTAAAAATAAAAGTCCAACATCACTAAGGAACATGCAGATCAAAACTGCAATAGGATTATTCCTCGCTCCAGTGAGAGTGGCTAGATCAAACACAAAAGATGGGCTGGGAAGGTAGCTCAGTCATATAACACTTGTGTAGCATACAGGAAGTCTGGGTTTGATTACTCAATACCACTGCCACCCCCCCCCACCCAAAACCAAGCTGACCGGTATGTAGAGAAAAGGGAGCCCTGCACACTCTAGAAGGGATATAGATTAGTGTAGCTAATTTGAAATAAACAATGTGGAAGTTCCTCAAAAAATTAAAAATAGAACTATTTTGATGTAGCAATCCCAATACTAGGTATAGACCCCAGCCATTTTCATTTAAAAATTTTTTCTTTTGTGGTACTGGTGGTATGTGTATACCCTGGAATAAAAAGTGATGAGGAGAGGTTGATTAGTGAACACTAGGAGTGTGCTGGTTTGGGGCTTATTTTGCAAGGAGAACAATATAATACAGGACACATACTTTATATGATTATTTATAATAGTCACCCAAAGAACGATATACAGAAGAGTGCAGGAAATCTGTCCGCACACTAAAACCAAGGAATCCAGCTTAAGGCCTGGATCCCGCAACAATGTCCTACATGAGTCCAGCTGAATTCCTAGAGCTCATAACAATGCCTCCCACAAATCCAACTGGACGCCCAGAGCCCATGACAATGTCTCATGCAGGCCTGTTTCGCGGATCTGTGCTGGGAAGGCCCGAAGGTCAGTGCTGGAATCTAGAAAATCTGTGCCAGCAGGATGAAGGACCTGTGCTAGCAGGCTGAGGAATCTGCACTGGAGCCAGGAAGTGACGCTCAGAAGAACCAGAGCTCCCCCAAAAGGTACCACAGCTGTCCTCAGCAACAGTGAGGCCCCGAGCTCCGATGATCAGGATGGCCCAGTTCCCATCAGGGAAGCCAACGCAGCAAGCTTTTCCAGGAGGCCAGCAGTGCACCATCTTCCCTTCCAGAACCAGGAAGCGATGCTCAAAGTGAGGACCAGAGTGCCCCCAAAGTGAACCGAAGCCATTCTCAGTACCAGCAAGGTCCCAAGCTCCTTGAAGGATGAAAACAGCCCAGTTCATCAGGAAAGCCAGCTCCCCACAGCTTCTACCAGTTCCCAATAGCCTTTCTCAGCTCCCAACAGCCTGCTTCTTCTTCTCCAGGTCTGCCTCTTATCCTGCTGGCAACAGTCCTCAGGTGGGCCTCGCACACCCAGCGCACACCCAGCACCACTCTCACTCAGTTCACCTGGGGGTTACAAGTTGACCACCAGTTATCAATCTACTACAAGGAGTAAGAAATTCTGGTGTGCTATTACACGTTATTGATAGTAAGCTATCAATAATGGACTGCTTAATTAATTATTATTATTGTAGGTTTTTTTAGATGGGGTCTTGCTATGTAATCCAGGCTGGTTCTGCACTCATTATGTAGTCCAGGCTGGCCTCAAACTTGCTGCAATCCTGCCTCAGCCTCCTAAATGCTGGGATTACAGGTATGCGTCACCATGCCTGGCTGTTTGTTGTTGTTGTTTTTTTTTTTTTTTTTGGTACTGGGTATCGAACTCAGGACCTTGCATTTGCCAGGCAGGCACTTATGCCACTGAGCTATATCCCCCACCCTTGGCTGGGTTTTTTAAAAGCTAAAAGAAAGGAGTTGAATATTTTCACAATAAGGATAAGATAAATATTTGAGAATAAATATGTTTAACTGATTTAAACATTGAGCAATATATACATGTATTTAAATATCACATGGTACTCCATCAGTATATACAATTTTTATGTGCCTGTGTATCTGTTAAAAAATACAGTTAGAGGGGCTGGGGATTTAGCTCAGCTGCACAGTGCCTGCCTGGCAAGCACAAGGTGGTGAGTTCGATTCCTGGTACCAGAAAAATAACAACCCAAAACAAAACATAACAAAACAACAAAAAAAAAGTAGTTAGAGCTGAGTGTGGTGGTATATGCCTGTAACCACAAGACTCTGGGAGGCTGATGCAGGAGGATTGCAAGTTTGAGCCTGGGCAATTTAGTGACAGAGTGAGTCTGGGAATATAGCTCAGCGCAGAGGCCCTAGGTCAATCCTCAGTACCACAAAAGGAAGGAAGGAAGAGAGGGAGGGAGGGAGGGAAGGGTGGGAGCTGGATCTTGATGGTAGAGTATTTGCCTAGCATGGGCAAGGTTCTGAATTCCATCCCCACCACAGTATACTCACATAAATAAATTTAAGTTGCAGAAAATCATTACTCTTTGCCTACTGACATCCTTATTCTAGTTTCGTTTTGTTTCTGAGAGATCTTGCTCTGTTGCCCAGGCTGGCCCTGAACTCCTGAGCTTAAGTGATCGTACCTCAGCCTTCTAAGAGTGGGGCTATGTGCATGCCCATTGCATCTACTAATTTTTGTCATGGTTACAGTGAGTCAACACGTTTAAGGCAGACCAAGAATACAGAATGCACACGTTCAAGTGAACAACGTTCCTAGTGCATTATTGTACTGCATGTTGTTTCTAAGTGTCAGCTATGAAAACAGGGGAGGAAAATACCACAATGGTCAGGAAGGTAACACAGACGGGGAAAGGGTGAACTTCAAATATTCTAAAGCTCAGCTTGTTTCTTTAATGTGTGAAGTACGTAGTAACAAAGTCCTGATGACCAGAACGTTACTTTAAGAAAGAATCATAAACTGGGCAGCATAGTGCACACCTATAATTCCAGCTGCTTGAGAGGCTAGAGCAGGAGGATTGCAAGATTGAAGCCAGCCTGGGCCACTCAGCCAGACATTGTCTCAAAATGAAAATAAAAAAGGACTGGGAATGTAGCTTAGCGTTACAGAGCTTGCCTAGTATATGCAAGGCCCTGGGTTCAAGCCCGAGTACTACTAAAAAAAAGAATTTGTTGTTAGCAAATCATATGCTGAGGGAGGCTGCAAATTGGAATCCTTTTGAGGTGAAATAATTCCTTTTGAGCCAGGTGTGATGGCATACACCTGTAATCCCAGCCCTGGAGGCTGAGGCAGGTAAATTCAAGGCCAGTCTGAACTATACGGAGAGACCCTGTCTCAAAAAACAAAAAGAATCCTTTTATTATGCTCTTTCAACATATGTTATCATATCCTTCGTAGTACCTTCAAAAATAAACCTTGTCTGTCATCAAATTGGTACTAATTTAAAGTTATTAATGACTTTGATGAGAAATTATTGAGCTGTCACTTTAAATGCTTTTGTTGACTTTGTTTTGCTTGTAGAGAAGAAAACTCCATCTCAGCCCTGAGCACTGCAGTAACTTTTATGTGGAACAGTATGGGAAAATATTTTTCCCAAATTTAACAGCTTACATGAGTTCTGGACCACTGGTTGCCATGATATTAGCTAGACATAATGCCATCTCTTACTGGAAAGAACTTATGGGACCAAGTAATAGTTTGGTAGCTAAGGAGACACACCCAGACAGGTAACTTTCTTGGATTGGGGAAATTAACTCCACTTGTGAAAATGAAAAAAAAAAAAAAATGTGATTTCAACATAATGATTGTTTTCTTTCATTTGTATTTTTTTTTTTCTTTTCGGTTTTTTTCTGGTACCGGGAATCGAACTCACAACGTTGTGCTTGCCAGACAGGCGCTGTGCTGCTGAGCTAAATCCCCAGCCCCTTGTTTTCTTTCATTTGGAAGTTTTCTTAAATCCACTTTTCTTTGAGTTGGAGGGAGTTACTTTTATATTTTAACCATTTCGGTGTCTGCCTTCATGTCGAATACCAGGCCTCAGCAGAAGTCTGATTTGTGGTTAATTAGCCTTATTCCTTTCTCATCCTTGACTTAAAGGCACTGAAGAAAGACGTTTTTTAATGGTAGAATGGGAGTGGTGCTTTAAAAGAATACTGGAAATACAGGAGTAGAAATCCAAATTTTTGGTGTAATCACTAATGTCTGAAAACAAGACACTGAATTCTTGTACTTTTGAATATGAATCACTTTTTCACTCTTCACAAAACACCACCTCCTTTTCACCTGAAGAACTCCTGTCATCCCTCCTGCAGAGGGATAATTTTACCTCATCTAGATCTCTCCATGGCAGCTTAAATTCAAATAGGTTGAAGCCTCCATATGTGAGAAGTGACAATGCTTTTGTAAAATTTCTAAGTAGCATGCATTCATCTAAAGTAAGAAAAGGACATCAGATTGGGTGGGGATCTCACCTCTAATTCTCTTCTAGTCTAAGGGCAATTTATGGCACGGATGACCTAAGGAATGCGCTGCATGGGAGTAAGGACTTCGCTGCAGCAGAAAGGGAAATTCGTTTCATGTTTCCTAAAGGTGAGTTAAAGATGACTAATTTGTCAACAGCATCTCACCATAGTTTGCCTGGGAAGGAAAATAACAGTTTTTTCCCCCAATATATTTTGTCCTACTAAAAAATTTGAAGCCACAAATGGGAAACTCAGCATTTCCCTCAGAACTAAATTGTGCTGTCTAGGAAATCTGTTTTGTTTTTGTTTTTTGAGACAGTATTTTGTGATGTAGTTCAAACTGACTTTGAACTAACTATGTAGCCCTGACTGGCCCTGAGCTATAACCTTAGCCTTTTTATTTTTTTATTTTGAGATAAGATCTTCTAACTTGCCCAGGCTGACCTTGAACTTCTGATCCTCCTGCCTCAGCCTCCAGAGTGGTTTGGATTACAGGTGTGAGCCACCCTCTACTCCTTTCCTTAAAAACAAGCCAGGTGTGGTGGTGCATGCCTGTAATCCCAGCACTCGAGAGGCTGAGACAGGAGGATCCTCTCAAGTTCAAGGCCAACCTGGGCTACATAGTGAGCTCAAGGCCAGCCTGAACTACCTAGCAATACCTTGTCTCAAAAAAAAAAAAAAAAAATTGGTTCTGGTGCTCTGTAACACAATAGGTTAACTATAGTCTACAGTAATATTTCAAAACAACTAGAGGAGTCTAAAGGTTCCCAATACATAGAAATGATGAATATTTAAGGAGATAGAAATCTGATTTGATCATTATATGCTGTATACATTTTTGGGGAGCAGTACTGGGGATTGAACTCAGGATCTTCACCCTAAGGTACATTTTTAGTCTTCTTTTTTAAGAGAAAAAAAATAAAAACCATGATGTAGCATTTCAAAACAATAGGAAATTAACAATGGTTATTATATTGTATATTGTTATCTTTAAAGTAGTTGCTCAGATTACAAGATACAGATATGCAAAATAGATCAGATGATATAAGCACAAATAGTTAGGGTCCCACTAAGTCACTGAATTCCCCAGGCTGGCCTCAAACTTGTGATCCTCCTGCCTTAGCCTCCTAGAAGGCTGGGGTTATAGGCATGTGCCACCATGCCCAGCTCACATTGTATGCAAATATGGAATTATTGTACTGTACCCCATAAGTTTGTACAAATAGTGTGTCTCAATTAAAAGACAATATAAGAAGCTGGTTGTGGTGGTACACATCTGTAATCCAAGCACTTGGGAGGCCAAGGCAGGAGGATCACATTGAGTTTGAGGCCAGCCTGGGCTACATAAGTGAGTTCAAAGCTAGCATGTACTACATAGTGAGACCTTGTCTCAAAACCAAACAAAAGCCCCAAAACAATAAAGAAGGCATTTATATAAAAATTCTAGGGAACTATAGTGGCAGAAGGCCAGTCAGTTGTGTCACACATCTGTGGTCCTAGTAGCTCAGGAGGCTATGAGAAGAGGATCCTTGGGCTCAGGAATCCAAGAACAGCTTGGGCAATATGGTGAGACCTTGTCTGAAAATGAATGAATGAGGTAGTTTGGTTTGGTTTTTTGAAACAAGGTCTCGCTATGTCTCATTCAGGTTGGTCTTGAACTGAGCAGTCCTCCTGCCTCAGCCTCCCGAGTGCTGGGATTACAAGTGTGCATCACTACACCTGGCTTGAATGATTACTGTTTATTTAAAAAGTTGAGTGTGGTGGTATATGATGCCTATGATTGCCACACTTTGGGAAGCTGAGGTAGAGTTTGAGCCCTGCCTGAGCAATTTAGTGAGATCCTGGCTCAAGATAATTTTTTTCTTAAAGGCCAAAGATTAAAAAAGGAAGAAGAAGAAAAAGAAGAGGGCCAAAGGTGTAGCTCCATGTGAAGGCCCTGCATTCAATGCCCACTTCCAAAATAAAAAAGAATCAGTAGTTGACCAAGGGGTGAGGAGCTAGGCAGAGATTAACTGCACTGGGGCAGTTAGTAAGGTTGCTGAGCAGTGGTTCTATACATTGGTTGTAGTGATGTTTACATAATTGTACATAATTACCAGAATTAAGCAAACACTTCAAAATGTGTGAATTTTATTGTATACAAATAAAGAGAAAAAGGTAAGAAAAATAAGTATCTTTGATGGTTTTATGAACTCTTGAAGGCATCCTTTTTAATGACTTATAATAATATTTTATCCCTAAGTTTCCCTTAATGAGAATGATTTGTATTTGCAGTGATTATTGAGCCCATTCCAGTTGGACAAGCTGCTAAGGACTATTTAAATTTATATGTGACACCAACTCTGCTTGAAGGACTCACAGAGCTTTGTAAGCAAAAACCGACAGATCCTTTTGTAAGAAATTTTATTCTCACTAAAGAATATTGTTTGTAGTTTTCATGTTTAAAATACTGTGTTTTTTGAAAGAGTACTTTTGGGAACTTTTTAAAAATAAGCATTTTTAGAAATATATTTTATATTTCTAATACTTATAAATAATTATCGATTACTTATTTTCTTATTTTTATTTCTCATGATATCTAGTTTTTTAAAATAGAATAAAGAGTTGGGCATGGTGGCACACGCCTGTAATCCTAGCACTTGGGAGGCTGAGGCAGGGGGATCATTGCGAGTTTGAGGCCAGCCTGGGCTACAAAGTAAGCTCAAGGTCAGCCTGAACTGCATAGTGAGACCCTGTCTCAAAAAGACAAAAATAAAATAAAATAAAATAAAATAAAAATAGAAAAAGCCAGGCTCCATAGTGTGTTCAAGGTCAGCCTGAACTACATGGTGAGACCCTGTCTCAAAAAACTAAAACAACAGCAACAACAACAAACCAGGCTGGTTGACATAGCAAACGAGACCTCATTTTAACACAAAAATTCCTTATCCAAAAAAAAAAAAATTCATTGTCATAGTGTCTCTTGCATAATAAGTACTCAATAAATTTCTCTCTACTGATTATTGTCCATAAAGTTGCACATGCCTGTAATCCCAGCTATTCAGGAAGCTGAGGCAAGACTATCGCAAGTTGAGGCCAGCCTGGAAAATTTAGTGAGAGACCCTGTCTCAAAGTAAAATAAAAAATTCTGGAGATGTGGCTCACTGGAAGTAATTGCCTAGCAAGTGCAAGGCCCTGGATTCAATCCCCAGGGGGAAAAACAAACAAAAAATATCAGTCCTTGGTTCTAACCTTTCCCATTATATCCAATAATTATTTATATAATTATACCTCTTTACACTGAGCTGTGCATTAATTATGCATATGTACTTAAGAAAATTTATAAGTAAATTTCCATGTCATCTCAAACTTAAAAAGTTAACTCTGTTCTATCCCACAGGTCTAATAGTTATTCTTATGCCCGTACCAGATTGTCAGTTACTGCAGCTTTGTAGGACTTGAAATTAGGAAGTATTAGATCCCCAATTTTTCACCAGGCATGGTAATGCCGCAAGTTCGAGGCCAGCCTGGGCAACATACATAGTTCAAGGCCAGGCTGAACTGCACAGAAGACTCCATCTCAAAAAACCCAGGCTTGCTCTTTTTTTTTTGGAGATTGGTTCTGATGATGTTGTCCAGGCTGCTCTCAGAATCCCACTTCAGCTTCTAGAGAATCTGGGACTGCAGTCATATGCCAGTTTTGTTCTGTGTCGTGATTGTTTTGACTGTTCAGAGCCCCTCCCAATTCCATATGGATTTGAGGATTGACTTTTCCATTTCTAAAAAAAGAAAATGACTGTTGGAAATTTGCTAGGGACTGGATTAAATCTCTACATTGCTTTGACTTATATTGACATGATTTTTATTTATTTGTTTTTGTTTTGAGACAGGGTCTTGCTATTAGTTCAGACTGGCCTTGAACTCACTGTGTAGCCCAGGTTGGCCTCAAACTCATGGCAATTCTCTTGCCTCAGCCTCCTGAGTGCTGGGATTACCGGCATGCCTGGCTTGACATATTATAGTATTCAGTTTTCATATCCATGAACATAGAATACCTGTCCATTTATTTAAGTCTTTTAAAATTTCAGCAGTTCTGTAGAATTTTCAGTGTAAAAGACTTTTACCTCCTTGGTTAAATTTATCCCTACTTACCTATTTTTTATGTTATTATAAGTGTAATTTCTTACTTTCCTTTTTAAATTACCATTACTGATATAGAAGCACACCTGTTTTTATGTGTTAATCTTTTTTCCCCCTCCTTTCTGGAGATTGAATCCAGGGCCTTGTGCATGCTAGAAAAGCATTCTCCCACTGAGCTACATCCCCAGCCATTTTTATTTTGACTTATAAAATTTATTTAATTATTTTTGCAGTATAGGAAATTGAACCCAGGGCTTTTTCACCGAGCTTCATCCTCAGTAGCTACATCCTTCTTTGTTTTGAGACAGTTTCACTAAGTTGCCAAATTGCCGAGGCTGGGCCCGAATTTGCCATCTTTCTTTCTCAGCCTCCATAGTGCTGGGATTACAGGACTGTGTCACCAAGTCTGGTTTATGTGTTAATCTTGTAACCTATGATTTTGATTTCTTTCCTTTTTTTTTTTTCAGGGGAGTACTGGGAATTGAACTCAGGACCTTGTACTTGCTAGGCAGGTGCTTGCTTGTACTACTGAGCTATATCCCTGGCCCTTGATTTATCTCTTGTTAGCTCTGTTTGCTTTTTTTTTTTTGCTAAAGTACTGGAGTTCAAATCTTGGGCCTAGCACATAAGCATGTGCTCTTACCGCTGTACTACAACCCTATTAGTTTTCTTATTAATTCTCTGAGGTTTTAAAAATTGATTGTATTATAGATTGAACCTAGGGTCATCACACTGACCTATATACTGGTCCCTTTAAATTTTTTTATTTTGAGACAGAGTCTTTCTGAGTTGCTGAATTACCCAGGCTAGGCTCAGATTTGTGATGCTCCTGCCTCAGCCTTCCGAGTGCTGGGATTACACAGTATTCCCCACAATGCCTGGCTTAGGGTTTTTTATATATAGGGTCATATTACCTATTTGTGGCCAGAGATAGTTTTATTCTTCCTTTCCAATTTTAATGTATACTTGACTATTTTGCATAATGTAAATTGTAGTACTTCAATTTTGATAGTCATTTTATTATTCTTTGTGTGTGTGTGTGTGTGTGTGTGTGTGTGTACATGCTTGTGTGTATGTGTGGTACTGGAGATTAAGCCCAGGCCTTTCGCACTGAGCCACATCGTCAGCCCTTTTTTATTTTGAGACAAGGTCTTACTAAGTCACTAAATTGCCCAGCTGGACTTAAATTTGTGATCCTTTTGCTTCAGCCTCACAGAGTGCTAGGATTACAGGTGTGAAGTACCAGTAATTTTCTTAAAGTGATTTTGACAACTGTTTAAGTTTCTAATTGATAGGTATATATTGAAAGGAAATACTTAATGTATTTTTTCGTTTTGTACTAGGATTCAAACTCAGGCCCTTGTGTTTGCCCAGCAAGCGCTATGCCGCTGAGCCATATATCCCCGGCTCTTAAATGTTTATTAATTTAAGATTTTTTTCTTTTTCCCACAGATTTGGCTAGCTGATTGGCTGCTGGAAAATAATCCTAACAAACCTAAACTTTATCATCGTCAAATTGCAGAAGAGTTCTAGCCTCTGCTAAAGAATAGCTCATGTACTGTCTTATTGCAAAGTGTGCATTATCAGAAAGATTGAGGTGGGGAAGAGGGAGAAAAGAAATGAAAAGGGAATAGAAGAAATTTAATTCTTAAGGGTTTAAGGAGCTGCATATAAAATAAATTATTTCTTAAAACTAAGTGTTAAACGAGTAACTATTTTATATAGCAGATAACATATTATTTTATATAATAGTAAATTATGGACTTAGGGTACAAATTTAACAATGATGTAACATTGCCAAATGTGATACACACCTAGGGGCTGGGGATTTAGCTCAGTGGCACAGTGCCTGCCTGGCAAGCACAAGGTCATGAGTTCAATTCCTGGTACCAGAAAAAAAAAAAATATGGTGCTAGATTATTATTTTTTTAATTTGAGAAGACATGAAAGTGTTATAAATTTGACCAAGTATATATACCATATCTAGATGCATAATTAATGCATCAGTTTACAGTCTAGTTAAAAGTTTAATTATATAAGCAATTATTTAATGTAATGGAAATGTTTAGAACCAGAGGATGATTTTAACTAATCATGCATATAACTATTTTCTCATCATTAATAAGTA